AAGGTGTTGAGACACCTTTTCTCAACAAGAGCATCGGAAATACTGGGTGCCCCTTATTCAAAATTTCTAAATCCAAAGTACTCCGAAATCCCAAATCTTGCACACGGGTAGCTGAGAGAGTCATACCCTTGCTTTCTGCTGGTTTGATAAATTTTGTGTCATGCACACAAATACTAGAAATATTGTATATAAAATTACTTTCAGGATGTGTGTATAAGTTGTATATGAAACATAAATGAATTTTATGTTTATACATGGATTCCATCTCAAAGATTAATAGGAAGACATCAACCAAGTTTCATGAAGCAAGCTGTCCAGATGGAATTTTGTTTTATCATTTCATGTCTCTGGCAAGTGGCAGCAGAGAGCATACCATAAGTTTAAGGGGTAAAGCCAGCCATGTATCAAGAAGCATGACATCCAGGGACTTCTAGTACTTAAGGTGGGGGTAATGCTAGTAGTTAATGCAGTTTTGTTCCACATTAGGAAAAGTCAGTGAATGCCCTGAAACTTCACTGAAGCTCTGGAGCAGCCCTGCACTTTAGGGTGGTCTGAATAGCTAGGCCAATTCCAATTTGAACTGTTCACATGGGCTAGGGCTGCCGTCCCATTTTCCTTGCACTTTGTTACTGGGAAAAATTGGATGGCACTCACTTTTTTGTCTTTTGTTGCTGCAGCAGCAGCCATGGAGCTGTTGCTGGACACCTTTCCTGATATTAGCAAATGTACCTGACAAAAGCCAAGAGTTCTTAAAACTTCTTTGTTGTGACTTTACAAAATCCTAGGTTGTCTACAACAGATAAAGTAATCTGTGGAAGTCTGCTTTGGATATAATAATAATAATAATAATAATAATAATAATAATAATCTGCACTTAAACACAATCCATGCTGACAAATACTATACAAATACTAGTGTATATTTGGACACTTGATGAGTCTGGATCTAGCCCAATCCAGATGTCCACTTCCAGATTTTCAGGAATATTCAGGGCTTATATCCCTAGCACGTTTTACCCTATGAGGTGGAGACTTCCACAATTATTGTAGAGCTTCATTAAATGTCATATTTCTTTAGTTCCTAGATTTCATGACAGATTCGGTATCTTTCAACTTTTCATTTGCTAACAATCAGTTGTAATTGACCGCAGTTTTTTATATTAACTTAGATGTGAGACTCTAACCCATCTTGCATTAAGGCTTCCAGTAGCTGATGTCATGGTGTGCCATTATTTTATGTTTAGATGACAACCCCCTTGGCATATCTTGCTTACTGCTGTGCCAGTTGAGATTTTCAGCTGCAATATTATATTCCTAAGGGTCTTGGTTATGATGGATTTCACCAGCTAAATTCTCTGTGTATATTTAAATTGTGCTTGCATGATGAAATAGCAACTATCTAGGAAGGAAGAAAATATTTCTAATGCAACAGTTAGGGATGGCGTTTTTGCATTGAATGGATTAAATAAAATTAAATGCTATTCCTCCTCATTTCTTATATAGTTAAAAAAATCATTTGACTTGCATTCTATCTCATCATTGCTGCATGCCAGAACTGTGTGTCTTTAATGATAGAAGTGTTCAAATTCCTTGATTTCATTTTATTGAAATGCAGCAATAAATGTATGTAAATGTCAATTACTCTGGTCTAAATAATCTTGATTTGAAACCCAAGAAAAGCTCTGGATTTGAAGACAAATAAATAAATTCTTTAACATGGCATGTGTAAATAGATTGCTCTCACTCAATGTAACCTCTCTCACTATAAAACAATAAGGTTTTAGCATTGCTAGGTTAGCAATGATTATCTGCAGTATTCACAATTTCTTTTCAAGCTCATTTTAATATCAAATGTAAAGATTTGTGGAGAAGGCCTGCTGAAGAAGAAACAACAAAGATATTTTGGATGCAAATATTTGAGATTTGGAGAACAGATGCTGTCATAGACATCTTTCTACCTAGGAATTATTTCACTAGAATCTATTTCCAGATTTCACTTAATGATGCAGCAAAATTTTACCTAAAACTGCCAGGCTCACACACCGGTCAGGCTCTACTCCAGGCTAAGGGCATTTCCAAGTGACTGATTCCTCATGATGAGCATTCATGAGGAATTCAAAACCTCATGTAGCAGGTGAACATAAGTAAACTTTGACTTGAATCACTCTCAATTGCCCCTGTCGAGGAAGAGGATGACAAAAGAGAAAGTGGCTGGCAGCTGCTGCTGGCAGCACCCCAGTAGTTCTTAGAAGGACATAGGGAAATTGGTGTCCCATGCCTCACATCACCCAGAGCCAAGTGAGAGCAATCACATGGGGGGGGGGACATGAGCATGAGTGGTGCGGCTTCCCCCATAGATTGTATGGCAACACAGGAGGTCTTCCGTGTTGCCCTGCCAGCGGCATGTACCCTCCTTCACCCATGGAGCCAACATGGCATCATGTGATGGGAGTCGGTGGGCTCTGTGGGCAACTTAGGCTAATATTGGCTCATGCCACTGATTTTAGCCCTTTGTGATGTGGAGAGTCTTTAACCCTCATGATTTCATGATTTTTAAGGGAGATTAAATGTCACAATGATCTGAGCAAATCTGCAGTGGACTCCTCTCTCGAATATAACTTAGTAGGAAAGTAATTTAACAGCTCATTTTGTGCATAAAGTGAAGCAAGGTCTCCATTACAATTACAGAAATGTTGAATTTGAATCATTTGCAGAGTTGGGGAAAAGCAATTTGAAGATCAATGCACTGTGGTTTATTGTTTTATATTAAACTTTTTTGGCATCTCACATAATGTATTTTCTTGTCTATTTTTGTTACTTTGGGGGGGGGGAGATTGCTGAGGGAATGGCATAAAACTTGAAAAATTCCTGTCCAAATGTCTCTAAAACATAATTTAAAAATATCTTTGAATAACAATTATGAAATCATTGGTTTATTATATTAATGAAATAACTATGTTATCAATTTTGTTAGTTTACAAGTATCTTCATTATACCTTCTTAGTGCCTTCATTATACCCATAAAAGTAACTTGTTGAAGATAGCTAGCTAGTAGCTACATTAACTAGTACTTGGTTTTCACTTTGACAAACTGATTTTGGTGCTCTAAGTGTGTTACTTTATTGTAAGTGCCGGTGAGGTTGGACTCACACAGTACCCACACAATATACACACAAAGACAGAGACCCCTCAGTATTGTACTAATATCACATATAACATTTTCTATGACAAATGGAGCTTTTTATTGACATATTAAAATATTTCACCATGGTAAAGAGAATTGGTTCTTGGTGATTCTTTATTATTATATTTTATTAAAAGAATTAAAATTCATCCATACATTGCAAAAAGTGCTGGTTGCCAAAACTATGACTACAAAAACAAAATAGCAGATATTTACATGATGTGAACTGATTGTATGACCCTACACTTATTTTATTTTGTATTTTGTTTCATTGATTGTTTTCTATAACTCAATGCACCTTGATTTTTTAAAGCCTCCAATTTCTAACACACGACTACCAGAGAAAGTCAAGGCAGCTCATTTCCATCCTTCGACATATTTCCATACGTATAAAACAGTTTGAGTGTATCAGGATAGGTTAATGTGTATGGCACACTTTGTGCATGTTTTTCTGGTAGTGGATATTAAATTGACTTTGACCTTGAATGCTTTGGATTGTCATTGCTGTGTATCACCCAGTCCAATATGTAATTACCTGGTAAGGGGAAAACAAGTCTACCAGCAATACTTCTCCATTGATACTAGCATATAGATTTTAAGACATTGATTAATTGCATGGAATAAAACATTGAAATCTGTAAGATATGAGAAAGCTCTTGACCTCAGACAACCTTGCAATCTTTACACTTTTTAAAAGCTTAAATGGATAATGGCATTTCAAAGAATAAATAAAACTTGTTCTGATTCCAATTTCTATGAGTGAAATCCACTTTTTCTATAAAGTTGTAAATTAGGTGGTGCATGAACGAGAACTCCACTTATCCTATCCTCCAACCTGTAACAAAACATTAAGTGGAAGTTATAAAAATGAATTTTGTTCTATCATTTGCCTTTTTAAATAGACTTCCCTCCCTCAATTACTGGTACACTTTAACAAGTTTCAAATTTCACTAGAAAGGTTATATAGCCAACTAGAAGTGAAAACTGAATTACAATATAGATACTTTTACACAGCTGTATTAAAATGACATTCTACCAAACATGTCTAGTTTGGCATATTGCTATTTTAAAGTGCTACAATGAACAATAAATAACTTCTATAAAAATTGGAGAGCCAGTGGTTTGAATGTTGGCCTATGGCTCTGAAGACCAGGGTCTGGATCCCCTGTCAGCCATGGAAACCCACTGAATTTTCTTAAGAAAACCCCATGATAGGGTCACATTATGGGTGACATAAGTTGGAAAACAACAAGGAATCACAAGACAGTGTGATTACATTTTGACAGCAACATTCAGATAACTTTGAGGAGAAGACAGGTCTTTTCAAGGGAACAGTCTACTTTTCACAAAAGGGTTTGATGTACTATTTTGCAAATATCTACCAGGATCTGTTAAAATTACACCCAGAGATAATTATCTGTATAATATAATTTTGGTCAAATTATAAGACTGTGGCATAACAGCAACATTTTACTCCACTACTGAGATCAGATTCATTTACCTTGGCATCAGTTTGGAGAAAAGTGTATGGGGTACCTCTATGCACATATATATTTACATGTGTAGGCCCCCTTCTACCAATCATGACTCACACTAAGGATATCAATATCTAAAAGCAGAACTACCCCACATATTCTCAACATTTTCTTCATTTATTTGGATATTCTTGTTAGAAAACACAAATTCACACATGGTGTGTACACTCTTATATAAATATATGATGTTGGAAGATATACAGGGTCATAGCCAGGAAAAAAATGTGTGGAGGGGGTTGAAAATGATTCAATTGCTAATGATCCACCTTTCTTTCTTTTTAGTGTCGATATCTATTCAGAGTTTGCCTGACGCTTTTGTTAAAGACACTAGAGAAGTCAAGGTTTCTTCCATCCAAGTTGACACAAAGAAATCGCAAAAGACTAATCCAACAGGCTTGCAAGTCCATGTGCCCAAAGTAGAAGCAACTTTTGCCATGGCAAGATATCCCATAACTGTTGATATTCCTCCACCAACCATGGAAAGGGTGGACACTCTGTTTCATACCTCATCTCTGATGAAACTGACTTCAGATTCCAAACTGTCTAAAAGCTCTGTTTTGTCCAATGAAACAAAAAATACTATCCTGAACATTCATCCACATCAAAAGAGGAGAGGAATACCACAAAGGGTAGCTCATATAATCTCAGATTATAAACACATTGATCAATCATATATCACAGGGAATTCATCCAGCCAACAAGAACTATATGCAAGGTTGTTCACTGTAAGGCCTCGTGTTGTTGGACAGTCCCATGGCTCATTTGACATGTTGTCTTTGGGAAAGCAGTCAACTGGAACCTCAACTATGCAGACTGTATCTGTCCATGGATTTAAAGTGGGCCAACCACAGACATCAATTTTAACAACACCATTCACCTCCTCTTTCCACCTGAAAACTGCTTTTGCTAGTAGAATCCGCCCAGCAGGGATTTCCTCACAATCAAGGATTCCAGGGTGGACAGTGTTGACCAGAAGGCCTCAATCTTCAGCACCAAATCATTCGGTACTTTCCAGACCTATTAATAAATCTTTGCTTGTCAGGAAAATCACTTGTGAAGATATGCCATGTTTCAGCGGTGTGCACTGTGAACCAACAAAAGATGAGGCATTCAAATGTGGACCCTGCCCTATAGGTCATAGTGGTGATGGAATTCAATGTCATGGTAAGTAAAAGGAGAGAAAGAGAGTCCCTTAACCCCCCCCCCCCCATCATTTCAGTGTTTGTGGCTTGGCATAACTATGTGGGGAGGGGAAAGGCTTATGCCATTTTAAATACTTTTGGGGGCATGGTACAGTGAGCTATGCAGTATCTTTGTGTGCAAAATTGGTTCACAGATACACTCCTGCAATGAATGACCAAGGATGCTAACACACTAAGCCACAACTTGGGGAAAACAGCAGTCTCCCAATAGGGCAATATTGCTTCTTCTTCACCAGATATTAAATGGGTGCTCTTTCATAGATCCACTGCCCTAGCCACTCAATGCCTATGGAAGTACATACTAGCATTATTTTGCTGCTCTTGTACAACCAGGGAAGATGGAGCAAGTGTCACTCTCAGAATCACCAGCATACTTTTGTTGGTGGAGCCTTACACTCATTTCATGATGAGTACTATCTTGACCACATATTCTAGTAAGGGTGTTTAGCATTACAGCCATCAGATATATATTTCATACCTAACAGCAGATCAGCAACTGCAGTTACAGTGAACTAGAATAGATTTGGTTTCCAAGCTTATGTTTTGTTATACTGTATATCAGTACTTACATTAGCAATGATAATAATTATATTGGGCTTGTTTGTGAAGCTAACTGGGTACTCCTGAGAAATAAAGTATGCACCCCCACACACACACACACATTTTAATATCTGAACAACTAAAAAGTGAGAAAATACACAGACATATACTTTAGTTAAAGTGAAATAGTTGTGCTAATTAAATGAACTCATCTAGAAATAGTATTTTTTTTAAAAAAAATACTTACATTCAAAAGGGTTCTCCATTATATAGAATAATGCCCCAGTAAAACAAAATTAGGAAAATAAAACGCAAAATTGGGGGAAAAATAAGCATATTAGTTGTAAGTTTCTATAACAGCTGACCAAATGCCCAAATTTAAGTCCATTTGTAAATTGCATCTGTATATCATACTTTCAAATGTTGTTAGATTTTTATTCATTGGATCACAGGTGGAGGAAAGAATATTTGTGGTAATGAAGTATCAATCTTTGAGCATTCAAAAGTGTGTGGAAAATCCACATCCCTTGCAGTTTGTTAATTTCCAAGAAATACGTAGATGGTTTAAAAAAATGCATGTCCTTGAATAGCCAATACCAAATTTATTCATGGGATTACTTGCACTCATAATGTAGCTATTCTAGGACAGTTCCAAAACATATACATTAAGGAAGCATTAACAGTATTACATCTCTAACAATTTGCTGACAAAGAGCAATTTTGCTATATAAGATTTAGTTGGATATCTATCGCCATATAACTTGTATATGGAAAAACCTATGGCCATTGATTAACTACCCAATACTCTTCCATTCTTGATATGTTATACATCAGGTGTGTGTGTGTGTGTTGACTTGGACACTTATTGGCTTGAATTAATGCTACTTAGGGCCCTTCTACACTGCCATATCATTCATGTCCATGAAAGATTCTTTGCTTTGCTTTGCTCTTGTTACAGAGTGGGTGAGTGGACACTGCCGATGTCTGGTTATGGTAAACAGACAATCATACCAATGAAAAATGGCAGTGTGTTCAAAATATCTCATTCGATTGCTATGAACGATATAAGCCTGTTCATATATAATAAGAAACTTTGGTCCCTTGTTTTGTCCCTTGTTTTGACCCTAGTGCTCTTATGGATCATATAGTAATATTTTGGCAGCTGCAACACAAGGCACTCACTTCAGGGAAATCACACAGCAGCAACCGCTGAGGACAACTAAAGGGTATGACAAAAAAGAGAGAGCAGACTCAACAAGCTACGCTTCATAGCAAAATTACTTTGCAGAAAACTGAGCAAATAGTTAGTGTTACCAGCAATATTAAAGCAGTATAAAACTGGCATAAATGAGAATAGGTGCCATATGGCTATATGAAATGCATAATCACTGACAGACTGTATTATGCCAAATTATAACTTTGCTTTTGCATTCTAGCACAAGAATTGAGAAAAGAAAACTGACCTATCACCTGATGTACATGTCTGCAGGGACATAATCATCACAGTACTTTATGATGAGGGAGACTGTTAATTTCACGGCTTAAATTAACACATGAATTAGACAGTTTAAAGGAGCACAGTGAAGTAATATACACAATTAAGAGTGGCTGGGTGCATTCCTCTTTAGAAAGCTGTCTGATAAAGTGTCAAATTGGATGTATCTTTTTATTACTGAATCTCTTGTGTTCTTAATATAGGTCAGAATCCTGTTGGGAAGTTATGCCTTTGTAAGTGGACTAACACCTGTAGAAATGAGATTTGGGCTGTTTTGTAACATCTATATCCAGTAAAGGGCTATTACATTACTATATAGGACAAACAGCAACTGATGGATGTCAGTCATTTTGTGCATTGGGAAACTGTTATTGACATCCTATTATAAATCTTCACAATGTATTTATTTATTTATTTCATACATTTGTACACTGCCCTTCACACACACACACACACACACACCCAGGGGAGGGGGGGACAACTCAGGGCAGCTTCACAACAAGCTCTCATTCAAGTGCTAACCACAATTATAAAACATATTTTAAAATAGTTCAATTAAAATATTAAGAAACATTTCATTAAAATCACACCACTTTAAAATCAGTACCTGGGACAGACTATTGTCATACATATCACATTGAGTCTTATTCCCGATTGCTGCTGCTACTGCTCAAATGCTTGGTCCCATCACAAGGTTTTGAGTTTTATTCTAAAGGACAGGAGGGAGGTAGCCAATCTGATGTCACTGGGGAGAGAGTTCCACAGGCGAGGGGCCACCACTGTACTAAAAGAGTTTATTTGCTCTGCCACATAGCTAGTATATGGAAAGTTACATAACATACACTAGGATAGAGAATTTTGGCCACAATAATATTTGTATGCACAAACAAAACAGTCTTGGTATGTCTAAGCCTTTGTCTAAACCAGTGGTTCTTAACCTGCGAGCCACGGACCACCAGTGGGCTGCAAGGACAAAAATTTGGTCCATGAGCCTCCTATTTGTTTATTTATTTATTTATTTTATTTCCATATCTTTTATGCTGCCTGCCACTCCTTCCCTGTCACTGACCAGCCCCGACCCCCTGGATAGACCACATCAGCTCTAGATTATTAAATATGGTTTTCTGTGGGTGAGCAAATGGCAACTACTGGTTGATATATGTTCTGTATCAGAAACTACAGCTGATGTGCTCTATCCAATGCAGTTTTATGAATTAGCACTCCAAATAACCAAACCAAATCTAAAGTTGGCCAAAAACTGATTTGTAACCCTTTTGGTACTGATGTTGGAGAGTAGTCCCTGGTCAAAGTGGTTACTGATGAAATTGTATTTTTATTTGAGTTCACAGTGCCACATAATTCAGTTCAATGTGGATTGTATACAGCTGTGTGAAAAGGGCCTAAATGCCTCTTTCTGGAAGATTATTTATTGTAGTCTACGCTGAGGCTGTTCTTCCTGCTTTGAGAATCGCACACTTATTCTGATAGGAGAGGAGCAAGAGAAAAGAGAAAACCCATGAAGACTCGCTGCTATGCCTGCTATAGGCCCCTAACTGCCATGCTTGGAAGGGTTCTGATTTCCCTTGCAAGAACAGAGGCCTCAAGGAATGGAAACAAACTTGTATATGATACTGTAAAGAAACTCAAATTCTCCTACATTTGAGTCTGAATGTGGCAATAACAAATCAAGCTATAAAACCAGTGGTGGGAAATCAATCTCGCAAAAGCACAAGGTATGTTGCTACTTTGAGCTGATTCAGCTGTGACAGAAGGCAGAGATGATGCACCCACTGAAGTGTCCCCTATAACCTCCATCTGAATTCAGGGCTTTGGTTCTGTGTACAGAGCATATATGCAAGAGATGTTTTTTATTAACTTTCCTGACTAAAACTGATGCTTTCAATTTAGAGCTCTCACACCCAGCTGAGTGAAAAGTAATCAAATGTAAAAACATACATTTGTTGTTGTCTTGATTTTTATTGTGAGAACCTCTTATGAAATGGGATGACAGATGATAGCACCCTCTTCTCACAGATAGAGATAAAAATCCATCAGAAAGGGGGGGGGCTGATAAAAACAAATATATCAAATATATCAGAAGAATATCTGCAGTATTTTTCAGTCAATAACAATGCTTCAGAGCTGCTTACAAAATAAATAAATACATATAATCACAACCAGGCACCAATCAAGTTTCTCAAGTAGTTCCTGACACAAAAAATCAAGAAAACAATTAAAATCAATATTATATCTTCTGTAGCAGAAAATTAATCAAATAAAATAATATTATTACAAATACAAAGCAGTTGGAAAATTCAGTAGGTTTACAGCAGGGATAGGCATCCTTTGGCTGGCTCTATACTGTAGAGTTAATGCAGTCTGGCACCACTTTAACGGTCATGGCTCAATGCTGTGGAATCATTTAAGTTATAATTTTATAAGGTATAAAGCAATAGCATCCCTGAGATAGACATTGGTAGATAGATAGATGATGGATAGATATCGAAGAGGCTATTGACATGGGAATGCCAGTGTTTGCTTTTTTAGATAATAGGGATATGCAATCCATAAAAATGGTTCAAAGGTCATTACAAAACTGAGGGGTGTTTGCATTTAGTTTCTAAAGTGTTTCTAAAGAATAGTTAGTGAAAAATCCATTACTATAACGAGAGTAATGAAATTTTGTTACTATTTCATTATAGTAATTGCACATGCACATAATTGCTATAATTGGAGACACTTCAGGGGCTTATTTCTCCCTCGTTTTTACAGCTATTCGGGTGAAATTCACTACAATGGTATAAAAGCATTTACCATTCTTAGTCTACCAAATTTCAGAACGTTTCACTTATCCATGGACTTTTGGGGAATTTTCAAGGTTTTTAGAAACAACATTTGTTTAATAATAAAGAAAATATGTTCCTAGT